CAACCAGCAAAGACAGCACCACAGCAGCAACCTGCACCTAATACACCCCCCCCGTACCATCACCGTCACATTCACCGTGCGCCAAGCAACGCTCCTCCGGCACTTCCTCATCCGCGAACGCCTGCATCGCAAGAGCGACCGACTCTCGCCCTCCTCGTTCCTGCCGTCCATAATCGATTCCGGAGACCATTGCGCGCCCTTGCGAGGCTAATTGACAGCTTCACTGGAACCAGCCTACCGGATCCAGCGATCGCGACGACCCTGAGCAAACCGCACCTGCCTCCCCGCCCACCGACACCCGCTCCCATGCCTAACGTGGCCATCCCTTCTTCATAACAGTCGCCTCCGACACTCGCACCCCCAACACTATTCTTCCCACCGACCTCGCTACCCACCGCTGCCATGAAGGAGTCATTCGCTGCCCTTCTGCGCACGGCGGCCGGCAAGCTCACCCTTTCGCTGCTCGTGGCTTCGCAAGCCGCGGCCTATAATTTCAAACCCGTCCCAAATCCCAACCTTAACCTCGACGATTTAGGCCGGATAGCCTTCGCTGGAGATTTCGATTCGATATCGCTTTACCAGTATGAAGGCCAAAATCAAAATACTCCCGCTACTGGAGGAGCCCTCCTCGCACGCTACCCCAACGGCGTCTTTGCGACGATCAACACCACAGATGCCGACATCAAGGCCATGTGCGCGCTCCAGGTCAATGGCGCGGAACGAGTCGTGTTCGCAGGCAACTTTACTAGTGTTGGCGATCTTCGCACACCTGGAGGCATCGCGCTGCTCGACCCCAACAACGGCAACGTCACTCCACTCGAAGGACTTACTGGATCGGTCAACGCGCTCTACTGTGATAGAGATGGCGGTCAGGTCTACGTGGGAGGAAGTCTAGAAGGTGCGAACTCGTCCAACGCTCTAGTATGGAAGAACGGCTGGGAAGACCTATCGTTCAATGGCTTCAACGGCCCTATCCACTCCATCATCCGGTCCAACGACAACATAATTTTTGGAGGAGAGTTCAACGGTCTCGGAGGAGGCAATGCGTCGATTGTGTCGAGCGAAAACAACACGCAGGTCATCCCCATCGCTACCGCAGACATATCCGCCCAGACAAGCTCCGGCCAGAACGGCCTCTCAGACCCCAAGAACATCGCATGCAAAGCCGACTTTTCCACGCAAGGCGCCGGCTCGACATGGCTGCTCGCCGATCGATCGCCCGGATTCTGGAAGGCCGACTTTGGCTTCGGTTTCGAGCCGACAAGCATGAAGCTCTACAACACGGACTTCGAGGGCCGTGGTAGCAAGACTTTCCGCTTCACTGCACTTCCAGACGGCGGTATCTTGAACCTGACCTTCACCGATCCCCAGAGCGGACAACGGAAATTTTGCGACGCCAGATGCCCCCTGCCCGAGGGTAATACCACTGCACAGGACTTCTCCTTCGTCAACGTCGTTGGTATGAACGCTTTCAGGATCGACGTTTCGGAATGGTACGGTCAGGGTGGTGGTCTTAACGGTATCCAGCTGTTCCAGGACGCCATGTACTCCTATGCAGTTAACGACTTCAACGAGCCCAAGAACTGTGGTTCAAGCACGTCAGGGTCAGAAGCAACCTCTACCGGCTCCTGGCAGGTCTCTCCGTCGCACGACAGCTCCTCCAGGTATCTCACCACATCTCTGCAGGGCACACCCATCGACACCGAGTCGACCAGCGTCACCTTCCTGCCCGACATCAAACAGTCTGGCAACTACTCTGTCACCATTTACACGCCTGGATGCCAGGGCGATGGTACTTGCGGCACCCGCGGTCGGGTCAACGTCACAGCACAATTGGGCGGCGAGCCTAACAGCGTTGAGCTTTGGCAGACCAACAACTTTGACAAGTACGACGAGGTCTACAACGGCTTCATCGATGTCACCGATGGCTCCCGTCCACAAGTCATCCTTCGACCTGCTAGCGGACAAGGCCCTGGCCCCTTGACTGTCGTTGCACAGAGGGTGCGCTTCACGCTTCTGAAGGCTACATCAGGTAACTTGAACGGTCTCTTCGAGTACAAGCCTGGTCAGACCGTAGACGCGGACGACTTTACCAAGTCGGTCATCACTGCCGCCGGAGCCAGCCTCATTCCTAGGGAGAAGGCTTTCGTTACCACTGTCACAACAGGTGACAAGACACTGTATGTCGGCGGATCCTTCAACAGCAGCGACGACCGCAACAACATCTTCGAAGTTCGACAGGGAGAGGAAGAACCCAGGGCACTTCCCGGCAAAGGACTCAACAACCAGGTCATGACTATGTTCCACAACGCTAGTACGCTGTACGTCGGTGGTAACTTCACCAACACGGCGGAGAACAACGTAGCAGGCCTTGGCGGAGTGGCTACCTTGAACAACAACCAGTGGCAACCCCTTGGTGCTGGTGTAGATGGTGTCGTCCTGTACTTGGTACCGTTCTCGCTCAACATCACGGCTAATACTCCCGAAGACGTGCTCGCTGTCAGCGGATTCTTCAGCCGGGTCAACGCCTTTGGTAACAACCCCAGCACCAGCGTTAATGACTTTGCAGTCTGGGTGCCATCTCGTGGCAACTGGCTGCATAACCTGGACTTCTACTCTCTAGCCATGTCCGGCAGACTGATGACTTTCGCTGATGTGCCCGGAGGTGAACGCTGGTATGGTGGATCTGTATCATCTGGTGCTCTTCTCGCGAGCGGTACTGCTGAGCTCGAAAGTGGAGATGAACTGTCACTCAGTGCTTTCCCCATCAAGATCCAAGCGCAACAGCAGCAGCAGACCCCGTCTCGTAAGCGAGCCATCGTCCAAGGACAAAACCTCAACACCACTGGAGTCCGTACCGGTACTTTCTACAAGGAAAACGGCATGAACAAGACGATCCTCGCTGGACACTTCGCAACCAAGGGCGCAGAGGATCGCAACATCACCAATCTCCTCATCATTGATGGTAACGACTCTGACAAAGTAACCGGCTTTGACGACGAGCTGGATGCCAACTCCACCTTTGCGGCTGTCGCTGTCTTGGACAATGTCTTGTATGCCGGTGGTATGATCAGCGGACAGCTCAACAACAATCGTGTTGCTGGTGTTGTCGCCTACGACCTAAACAGCAATTTGTTCACGAAGGCTCAGCCCCCACCGCTACAGGGTGTGAACGTTACAGTTAACGCCATCGCTCCACGACCGAAGTCCAAGGACATCTTCGTCGCAGGTCAGTTCCAGTCCGCTGGCGCCTTGAGCTGTGCTGCGGTGTGCATCTGGAATACCGAGCGTAGTCAGTGGACTGCACCAGGCAATGGCCTTTCCGGTGACGTCTCGTCGCTCACATGGGTTAGCGACAACAGTCTACTCATTGCGGGCAACCTCACTTCTGGCACCAACCAGACCAAGATTCTGACCTACGACTCATCAAGCAGACAATTCGCAGTCGTCCCCGGTGCTAACGACCTCCCTGGTCCGGTCACTGCTCTAACCATTGCTAACCGTAACGGAGACCAATTCTGGGCCGCTGGTACAGCAAGCGATGGCACTGCGTTCCTGCAGCGATTTGACGGTACCAAGTGGGTGCCTGCCGACGGGGCCATGTTCGGTAGCTCGACCGAAATTCGTGGAATTCAGGTCCTTTCTCTATCCGAAGACCATGGCGAATCCGGTATCATCGACCGCAACCAAGATCTCCTTCTTATGGGCCAGCTCAACATTACTTCGTTTGCGGGTAAAACAGCATCTGCCGCGCTTTTCAACGGCACTACACTCACTCCCTTCCTCCTTGCTACCAAGGGCCAAGACGGTTCGACACAAACTGGAAGCCTGTCCTCTGTGTTTGTAGAGAACCCCAACTCGTTCTTCAGACAGTCAAGTAAGTCGCAGAAACCATTTCCAATCTCGGTCTGTATGCTAACGACTCTCAGACAAGCATCTTGCGCTATGGGCCATTGTTCTCATTGGTCTCGCCATCGCTCTCGTCCTCACCTTCCTCCTCGTCGTTATCGGTATCGTTATCGAATGGTTCCGCAAAAAGCAACAGGGCTATTCCCCTGCCCCGACGTCTTACCCCGATCGGTTAGGCAACGTAGGACGTCTGCCGCCGGAGCAGCTGTTCGGAACCCTCTCGGGACCTCGAGCCCCAGCAATCTAGGCGGTTCTGCCACCCCTGCGATTTTGAGTGCCGATAGCGATAGCGTTGCTCCACAAGACACACCCAGTGGCCCTGTAGCTGTCACGACTGATGAGAGGGTGATACAAGTCCCTGAAATTCGCGTTGTAGCCCCCTCGACTGAGGATGGAGAGACCCCAGTCACTGATAGTGGCTCTGGAGCCGCCTCGACACCACATGGGGAAACTGTACAATCAAACGAGACAGGCGACAGCCCGGACTACTCCATGGCGGACTTGCTACCGGCCATGTTTCGTATTTCTGATTTCATCAAGACGAGGACGAAAGCCTAGTGGGCTGATTGATATAGTTAAAGTTGGACCAGGATTGATTTGATACCACGCGGCTAGCGCAGCCCACCATTATTTCCATTGCTTTTTCCTTTCTTCTACACTTTCTCTTGCATTGGTGTTTCCTTTGCATACTTCCATAGAAGAGTTCACGAACGAACGCTTTTCTTTTCTTTATGTCTTGGCGAGCGTGAAGGGCGCGTTGGAGAGATCCGGAGCTGTAATGTGTACTTCTTCAATGGGATTGAAATCGTAATCAGGGCGGCGGTAGTGGCGGAAGGAAAGACGGTGGGTGTGTGCTAGTTCACGCACCAGGAGAACTGGGTTGATGGGGAAGGGGACGGGAAACCGGTGTACATGGACAAAACTTGTAGTCTTCTGGATGTACGCACCCCGATGCTATAATATACTCATATTCTAGACATGTTCACCTTCCCTTGAGCTTCGTTCATTCATGTCTAGCTGATGACGACGAAATACTACAACAGCTCCGCTTCCTTGAGAGGTTTCAGAAGAGCTCTCACTGCCTTGTCTTACTAGCAGTGGCCCAGACCACCTCTCCCTTCGGAGCGCGTTACAATCCTGCGCCAGCTAGTAGCCTTATAGACCACCTCGGTATCCGCCACCCGTAGGTATACCAAAATTCCCAGCTCCAATTCACCTCGGTATGCGGCAACTCCAGATTGATAAGACTGGACATGCCTTCAAGACGTGGGGATTAAGCCCCTCTCAGCATACACCTGTCGACAAACACGCAGCAACTGATACCTGGACCTCGCGTGTGAAACGATCCCAGCAACATTAACATTAACATCCGTCCCATCACTATCCGCCACCACATACTGATATACCACCCACCTCAACTCTCGCGGCAGACGAAGAAACGCCGACTCCTTTGCGTTCCGCTCAGTGATCTGGTTGGCCGTTTCGTCGAAGAACTTGGCTGGCCATGGCCATTGCGACGGGTCTGGCGCGACGGCGCTATTGTCTGGAACAGGCACTTGTTCGAAGAACAGTGTCTTTCGGTCGAACTCGTAGTACAGGTAGAGCGACCATCGGGATTCGGCTTCAGAGGGGACTTCGCGGCCGGGATCGGTCCATGGGGCCCAGGGTGGGGAGGTGGGCTTGGGGAGCTTGGTGGGGAGGCCGTCGCCGAAGAGGGTGGGCTGCTGGGGGTTGGGGGTTAGATCAGTTGAAACGGACGTCATGGCTGTGGGTTGTGGGTTGTGGATTGTGAATTGAGTGTTTACGTTGTATATGTTTGTTCGTCTCCGCCAACTCGCGGCTGAGTAGAAGGGGACTTCTTCTGGGCTTGACATTGCGAATGAAGGGCGGTGCTTGGTGGTGGGTGACAACGGAGGGAGTAGCGATACAGTTATGGGATGATTTGGCTCGGATGTGGGATCTTCTGGGCGAAACAGCGCAGATTTCGAAGGTTGAGTTGTGACTTACAAACGGTGGACGGCTAGTCCCAAATAGGCAAGGTCACGTTGCCATGCACAATTCGAGTGAATAGGTCAAATTGCTGAGTCTCAATTAGGTCATTATTGACCTTGGTATGCGCGCCTAGTCTCTACTGAGCATCAATCGCCTTCGCCTTTTTCTCGAACATCGTCGTCGAGTTCACCACCGCAACTTCCATTCCTTGCCCAAAGATCTCAGTCACTACCTTCTTCACCCTCTCCGTGATCTCTTCCGTTACTTGGAAGTCTCTCGGATAAGTAGACATCACGGTGATCCGCTGGACCGCAGGAAGTGGTGCGACAGTCGCAACCGATCCGGGGCTGAAGTGTCCAAAGCAACACGCCGAAATCACTATGCTTCGTATGGCGTTGCATTGGTCTTGCGAGAGCAACGTAGAAGGCTGTGAGGTGTGATACCTGGATTTACAGAGGCCGATGAAACGATTGAGGCTGAAAAGCATGCCCGCGGACTCTGAGTGTGTTTGTCGGCAGGTCTGGCTGAGTGCGAAGAGACGTGCTTTGGGAACATGTTCCCCTTTCGACGTTCTGACTGTGATGCCTGTCCCTCGTGATGGCTTTAGATCAATGTGATGGTCGCAGAGGGTATACTCGTAGATAGCATTGCGTATTTCTCCAGGGAGACGAAGCAGTGGTGACTCGTGCTGGTTTTGTAGAGCTCTATGATGGTGAGGTCAGTCTGTGGTAACACTGGTGGGGAAAGTAACCTTGCACCTCATACAAGGAAAAATCTGAACAGGCCTGCTGCCTACATTAACATAGAAACATGCAAAGTAGGTGACCTAACGCTAATGTAGGCTGCAGACCTATTTAGCTTTTTCCTAGGTTAACGTGCTTGTGTTGACCTACCTAGCATCCGCCGTCTTATGAGAGAGACGTTCCGCCAGAGCAAACTCTTTTCCGTTTCTGAGTTGCATTTCCAGTGACAAGGTAGTGAACCGGTTATGAGTGGAGGGCTGTGTGGAGAACTGTAGTCGGTAAGGTAGTGAACCGGTTATGAGTGGAGGGCTGTGTGGAGAACTGTAGTTGGCAACTGCTCTTATGCAGGAAAGTATGTAGCCGTGATGTGGGCACATGGTTGCCTGGCTTTTCCTTCCTAAGTTTTAGCGACGCAGCACGTGGAGGTACCAAAGTGGCTGGCAGGCGGCACGTGAGTCCCGCTTCGCACAGAGGGAACCTCCAAGGCTTGAAAGCAACATCCGCGCTTTGACCCAAACGAATGAAATGAATTGAAATCTTGGTGTTCTTACATTTGGGATTTTTTGAAAGAGGATATTATGGACTCTGGAGGTTGAGAGTGGCTCATCGGCGATGTATCATCGTAGTGCCATAACTGTTTTGATGGGATCAAAGTATGGCTTTGCGTTGGACAGGTCATGAGAAACGCCAGCGAGTAGCTACACATTATGATATGCACATCGTTCATAACTTCGAGTCGCCCGAGAAATTCGCGTACTCTTCTTCTTCCTGTCGCACACCCTGCCACATCTCGGCAACACGCCACAACTTTTCCATGCCGATCTCCTCCAGTAGACTTCCTCTTCTCTTTCGATACATCTCATCATACCTCTCATCATCGACAACCGTCGCACCGTCTTTGTCAAACACCAACATCTTGCCATCCTCAACCCACCCTTCACCGTGGATATATCGGATGAACTGGTCTTGCATAGCTCGTGCTATCCTCCTGTCGTCCTCACTGAAGTAAGGGTCGAAATTCTGCAAGAGATACGCAACATCGAGCTCGTGGGCTGCGAGGCCCTTAAAAGGTCCGTCTATTGGGTTGGGGACGTGGAAGTGGTATCGTGAGGCTGGTCTTGGTGGTGAGAGAGCTTTCCACCCCCTATATGCTGCTAACGCTGGTAGATAGAAGCGGAGTTCAGATGCGAGTACTAGCAAGCGCTCTCCCTGAACTTCCTTTGATGCGTTTCCATCGAGACGATAGACTTGTAGGAGCCCGAGGGATTCGAGTGGAGAAAGGTGTGCTTCGCACGCCTTAAGAAGACGCCCGAAACTGTTGGGCTGGTCCAGGAGTCGGCCTTTCAGAATGAGGGCGTCGTGTTCTGTGTCGCCTATCACAAATTCCTTGCACCATGATGGCTTGTGTATGGGGCTTGACCCATCCATTATCGACTCGATCGTGACTTCTTGTGTGAAGAATTGGCCGTCGACCGTTGCGGCGAAATGCTGTGCCAAAGGCAATCTCTGAGCCAACTCTTCTGCATCGGTGTCTAATAAAACTCTTCTTCTGCTCTCGACATCGTTGCTATCGATTTTCAGATAGGTAGACTGATCTTCGCACATCTTCTGGTGCCACCATTTATTCCTCCACTTGCGTAAAGATGCGTCACCACTCATAATAATAACACGCTCAAAGAGTCCCTCGTCCCCGACGTTCGCGCAGAGGAGTGTTGATAGCGAAATCGCTCCTGCCGACTCGCCTGCAGTAGTGATGTTGTTTGGATCGCCTCCAAACCCCGCAATATGCTTCTTGACCCATCGGAAAGCTAGCACCTGATCTTTATAACCCATGTTACCGGCTGCACCAATCTCATCGCTGGCCAGGAAACCAAATACGTTGATTCGATATGCCATTGAAACGCCAATGAAGGGTTTACCGGTTTCTACACCTCGCTGGACAAATCGAAGTAGATCATACTGTGGCCAACTGTTTGCTCCGATGCTGAGACCACCACCATGTACCCATACGAACACTGGAAGACCTCGTCCTCCACTCTTTGCATCGCTCGGGATACCCTTGGGCACCGTGACGATTACATTCAGGCAGTCGAACTCATCCATTCTCTCTGTATCGCCTTGACCCGGGCTGCAAGGCAAGACGGCATCTCCGACTAAAGTCAGGTCCCATGCCTGAGCTCCACGCAATTGTGGACATGATGGTCCAAATTGCGTAGCGTCGAAAACCCCATCCTCCCCAACTTCAAGCCTATCGTCTGGAATCGAATCCTTGTATCGTGCCGGTATCGATGCGTACTTTAGGTTGCGAAACTGTGTTGTTGACGCGGATGATGTTCCACGCAAGGTCCGCTGTAGTGTGGGATGGTGCAAGGTACACTCTTCGGTCGACATTGTTTGTTTTTCGCGTACGCGTTACATTCCAAGAATCTGCTCAAGATCTAGAACGATATTTAGACTACATGTCATCACATACCCATCTTCGCCAGCCACCCCACGTGGCACCCCAGACTGTTGACACAGGGATGTGGGGAGATGTGGGGCTGGACCTCGGCAACGGAGACGGCAGCATCTTGCAAACGTATGCCGAAGATGCTGAGCAGAACTTCGGTATGTGGAACTAAGTCACCATACTAGAAAGTTGAAGTTGAGGAAGGACAGGAACCACAAGCAGGAATGCACGCCTGGGCATGTCACAGTCTGAGGCGCTAGCCACGCGGGGACCGGGTATCTTCGGCCCTGTCTAGGACGCGCTCCAGTAGGTATGTTACACTCGGCGCGTCGAACCATCAGTTTCCTATGTCTCTTGCATTAGTCGCGCGGATGAGCATGAGAATCCCCGAATACTATGACGACACGGCGTGAAGGGCGTTCGGCCTGTACATATTCGGTGTTTGCCCTGCGTGTCAGCAGGCTGCATTAGCGCGTTGCCTACCGCCACCACTCATTTGGTCACTTCTCACCCAAAATATATTTTATGGCCTACTAACTCCAGAAAATAACATCGAGCATCAGCTAAAACTATATTACACTGGTGTCTGTCAGCTGGTTGCACATACCCGCTCCTTAACTCCATGGCCCCTACCTATCTCGGTCGATATTTGACCACATTGGGAAACACCTATGTACACCGGTTCGTGTCGAAGTATGGAATGAATTAAGAGCTATAAAGCGAGCTCGGTCGGTCTTCGATCCAATATCTATTCGCTCTTTCATCCTCACAAGATCTTCAAATTTGGTGATCACCATGCCTGGCTCCACCCCTACGAAACCTGTCGATTGCACGATTGACTTCGATGTCAGCCATCTAGCAGGAAAGACTGCTGTAATCACTGGAGGTATGCACGGCCTTTATTACAGACACCATAGTCACAGTGATAACTGCTACATTCGTTGAAACCCCAGCTAATCTCTTAGGCAGGCGGCAGTGGTCTCGGCGAAGCATATGTCCGAGCACTGGTAAACGCAGGCGTAAAGGTATGTTTCGGAGACCGCGACGTCCACCGCGGACAACAGCTCGCCTCCTCGCTCAAAGACTGCCGCTTCGTACCCTGCGACGTAACAAACTGGGACGACCAAGTCCGCCTCTTCAACTCAGCCACCTCCCTATCCCCCACCAGCAAAATCGACTACGTAGTCGCCAACGCCGGCATCATACACACCGACGACGTCTTCACCTTCTCCGGTCCCTCCCAACCCCCCCAAAAACCCAACCTCGACATCATCTCCGTAAACCTCAACGGCGCCCTCTACACCACCAAACTCGCATCCCACTACTTCATGACCCAAAACGGCACTTCTCCCTCCCCCTCCCAAACAGATACCTGTCTCGTCCTCATCGGATCCGGAGCGGCTTACCTAGACTGTCCGCGAGGGCCCCAGTATAGCGCGTCAAAGTATGCGATGCGCGGCATCATGCATTCGCTGCGTCGGACAGCGTACTACTACGGGTCTCGCGTCAACATGATTTCGCCGTGGTACGTGCGCACGGGTATACTGTCACACGACGATTTTGATGCCGTGGAGAAGGCGGGGGTGCAGTTCGCCACGACTGAAGATGCGGGGCAGTGTTTGTTGAGGATTCTGAGTGATGCGAGTGTCAACGGGCGGTCGCTTTTTGTTTCTGCGAGGAAATGGGCGGAGAGGGGGTATGTGGATTTGGATCTGGATGAGTACCCAGGCAATGGATTGTTGGAGGAGATTCAGGCTGATCAGGTCAAGTTTGCGCCTGTAGAGGCTGGTCTATTTGTCTGATGGTTCATTAGCCGTGGTGAAGCCCATGGACGACAACAAATCAATGGGATACGAGAGATGATCTGGTTAGTAAGCGCTATAATATTTCATTATGACCGTTTGCCCATAGTCCTTTTGCATTGACATCGCACCATCTGCCGCCGTTACCTACTCCTCTATCGCAGTTAAGAATAGACATTGTATCCTACACTTAAACCTCGTAACATGGTGCTATTATTTGCGGACTAAGATACCAACGTCCAGATCTCACTAGCGCTCGACAACCCCCAAACCCCTCCCGCCCGATCACCCACAACACTAACAGCCATTCCACTCCTATTATCTATCATCTCCCACACTTCCGGAGTGCCAGTATATCTCCATAAACTTCCATCGCCATGTCTACTATACAACAAGCCCCCATCAGCATATATACTCACACTTCCAGCTTTCTCAATCATTTTCCAACTAGGACCAGCAGTGTTCAACCACACTACTAAGCCGTCACTCTGAAGTTTGTAGAATTCGTTGCCGCCAACTGCGATGGCGATGTTCTTCGCGTTGTCGTCAACGACGGCCCATTGACCAGCGTTATGGGGCCACAGGGAACGAACAAGATACCCGTTCGTGAGCAAGTTCCAAAGTGTTTTGTCGTCGGTGACGGCTATCTGTTTGGAGCCAGGGGCGGAAGGTTGCTCGATACTAAGCCATGTACTGCCAGAGAGCCGGGCTACCCATCCATCTTTGTGCCGCGAGTACAGTTGGTCGGATGCTGCGACGATCTCGATGACGTTTGAGTCGGTATTACTCAGAGCTTGCCAGTTCGATGCGCTGCCTGTCCAGCGGAAGGTACCTCCATCGTAGTGTCGTTGGTAGAGGTTGCCATTTGCACCGGTGATCTGAGCAGTGTCCTTGTTGTTGTCGACGACCACCCATGCACCATTTGAGTAGCGAAGAATCTGCCCCGATGAACGCATTTGGTAGAGACCGTCATTGGCCGAAGCAGTAGCTGTGTTGGACGTGACTTGGATCATATTTGTGATTGCTGAGCCTGAATCGATACGATTCCAAGTCGGGCTCTTCCAGCCGTAGATGCTGTGTATACCCATCTTGTCGTCTGGATGCATAGGGCGTATGCTACCATCGTAGTAGGCGAACATGATGGCTGCCTCGACGCCACTGTGGCTCATCCCAAGAGCGTGACCAATCTCATGAACAGCTGTATATCCGAAGAGGCGGTCGTCTGTCCACTGGTAGTCGTCATTGAATGTTACGTTGATGTTACCAGACGACATGGAGGTGCCATCAGAGACCATGGACGTAAAACCGTAACGCGTATCGTCTCGACCGAGGGGAGAAAAGCGGATGTTGATGTCAGCTTTAGCGTTCGAGGCTGCTTGTACGATGTTCAGGGGTATGTAGTTCATCCATTGGGCAAAAGCGGTACTGGGCAGCATTAGCGACCTGGATTATTGGACTGAAAGACGTGATCGTCGAGATTGACCTAAAGAAGGTCCACACCATAGCCTACAGAATAGCAAACACCCGAGATGTGAAAGCTTGACTAACCTGATCGTGCTTTGCTGACGCGCTGTAGACAGATCATTCGTGTAACTGTCGAAGCGCCATGTCAACGTCGCCTTTGCCCACTTCGGGCCCCAGAGTACGTATCGTCGCTCAACGTCCGAGGCGTCCTCTGCGTCTGTCGCATTGTAAGGTTGTTCCGTGCCACAACGCGGCCCGCTCATCATGTCCATCATCTTATCGCTGAAAGCCCCAGTGACAGGCTCTTTGAGCTTCTTTTGTATCTTTCGTATGGCTCTCGGAAGCTCGCTGTCTGATACGGACGCTCCAGGCTTGAGCCAGCCGTAGAGTCTATAGAAGTCGTTGACGTGCTTGGAGTGCTGCCTTTGGTCGGTTGCTGGAGATGAAGGTGGGGTTGAAGTCGGCGATGCTGAAGTTGCGCTTGGTATCAGAGCGGTAGTGCCCCTGGCGACATATTGGTGAGGTGACGCAAAACAGCAGCATATGAGTCCAAATATGATGAAAGCAATGGAGAATCTGGCCATCTTGCAGTTCTCCGTACACTAGACGAAAACTGAGCTGTAAGAATGCGTTTTCCAGTTCGACCTTCATTGATATCTCTTTTGTATTTCAATGTCACCCAACCAAAACGTTCCAACATCAGTTCAACCCGATGGTAGCGAGGTAGTGTGTAGGCGCGTTGGTGGGGGGCCATGAACCGTAGTTTGAGGCTGTCTTCATCATCAGATATGCAGTACCCAAAATAACTTCCACTCATGTATCATCTGGCGCACTGAAGGAGCAATCGTTGCCGAGTTGAAGGGAACGTGAACGCCACTCTACTGCTGACCGGGTACATCCACTTAACAAAGGCCTCGTATATACGGGGATGAAAGTGAATTGGCGCAAGCGTTCCAGTGCCGTGCCGTACTCTGACATGGGATCTCGTGGGAAGGACAGCCCAGATGCCCTGGTACGGGTTCTGTGTAAGATGTGAATACTCGACCATGCATCTTCCGTCCAGTCTGCTCTCCTGAAAGTTTGAATGCTGTGCCACACTGCAAGCCGATTTTGAAGTAACGCGTACAGCTCGGTGACTCCGGTCATGAGCCATACCTTCACACTTCTCTGAGTCAGCTGAGCTCAATAATGCCCTCATTATATAGCGAACGTCGACATTTCATGCAGTCAATCTAGTTGAGCCTCATCACCGGACTCTTCTATGTGCGTCTTGTACAAGAACTTTCGACGGGCAACGATCAGTCGCGGTTCTACTCGAATGTAGATTGAGCTCCTTTACGGGATCACGAGACGTGAGATTGGGGGCATCTAGATGAAACCCCGTCCACTTCCAGCCCCCCGAAGCTAAAAGGCTTGACCCGGGGGCCGGATGGAAATGGTCAACGATCGAATCATGGAGCGGACTGCTGAGCTCTGGCACGATCAGCGAAGCTATTGCCACAGCTGCCAATGGTGCACCCGTGCGTAAGGTGTGATGGTATGCCTGATGCAAGGCTGGCAGGACCTCTTGCAAGTGGAACAACCTGTCAACCGTATTCGAGATAACTGCATATTGTAACTATAATAGCTGTAATATACCGAACGAGTTGGTGGTGACACTGCGGGCGGAAGATCTGCGTCACGTCCATAGCCGGAGATTGGCGAATCCCGGAGCTACGGCAAGCTTTTAGCAGTCGACCCTAGGATTTATATCCGGTAAGTGTACTTGACGATGAGGCATTTTGGTTTCGCAATGATGAAAGATTCAAGTAGTAACCAGCTTGTCGATAAAGGGCGTCTTGTTGGGACGAACGCATAAGCGGCGGGCGGCACGGTTCGGGGCGCTTGATATGCAGTACAGGATCTCACTGCGTTGTTGGTGTAGGGTGATGAATGGCAATGATTTGAAGGTCGCGTAAGGAAGTTGTTGGTGGGTGGACGCCATGAGAATAAGGCAAGGACGAAGGGAGAGGGAAAGAGGTCGCGTCGCGTCCACGGGTGCGACACGAAACGGAAGCCGCGCTAGGCCCGAACCGCACCGCCCCAGCAGGACAGGCAACTACAGATTCTATTGAATTGGCGCAACGCATTGATTCCATTGGTTTGCCTACTACATGTCTAACCACCCATGATCTTTTTTGACGGGTACAGCTATGGATTCGCCTCTACATGGCTTCGGACGGAAGTTCTGAGTCGGCCTTTGCAAGCTTTTTGCCATTCTTCTTGCCTTACGCATCTTCATCGTTCTTGCCCTCCTCGTCGCCACCGTTCTTACCTTGCTGATAACCCTCCTTCTTGCCTTGTTCCAAGCCTGCAGCATAACCTCGGCCATAGCCTTCCCTGCGACCTTCTTCTCTGGCAGCTATCTCTGCAGCCTGGATAAGAGGCTGGCGATACTCCTCCTCTACTTGAACGAGCTTAGCAATGGCCTTTCCGATGATTTGTCGCGACGAGGTAATGAGGCCAACTGCGAGCTCGTCCACCTTCTCATTGAACATCTTCCGAGCTATCGCCCGAGGATCAGGTGTTGTGTTAGGCGCTTCCGGCGAAGCTGTAGTAGCACCGGGTGCGGCTGATTCGGGGTCCTGTTTGATCTCGTGGAGGTTCGGCATTGTGTCTTTGTACTCTTCAAATGTCTCTGCCTCTTCACGCTCGAGAGTGCTTTCCGCCGTGACTTTGTTTTCTCCACCCATGTCTTCTCCAACTGTGTCCTCCTTGACTGCGCGTGGAGATTCGGCTGCACGATCCGTCGCAGACGTTCGATCACGATCAGATGGCGGATCGGCTAGCTTTGCTGATGGTAATGATGCGGAACTGGTTGATAGATTCCGTGAGCGCTTACGGTTTGCGGGTGGGCTAGTCATCTGGGGCAATGGACTTGCTAGGGTGAATAGCTTGAAATGGGTCTTGCCTCGTCTTGAGATTGGTGGCTGATGTGTCTGGGGATGTACGTGTTTATATAGTGGCTGCTGTGCTTGGTAGGAAGTAACTAGCCTTTTGTGGAATGTTTGTCTCGGACGCTTCGAGCGTTTGTCGCTTTGTCAGACTATGCATTGCCTCTCAGTAGGGATCAGGGAAGGGACTACCGTGCACATCTCAAACACAAGATCCACAGAGTTTGCGTGCAGTCAGTCTATGACCGGCATGATAGCATGTCACTTACTGCAGCTCCCTACCATCTCACACGTAGCTCTGTGGGGTCCCGTCACTGCATGCAATTCATCACATGCAACAGCCCGTTTTGTGTTTGAGATAGTCCAGTTCTCGTGGGTATACCGCTGGAGCCAGAATCGATTGATATCATCTATGCCACACTTTCCATCCCCTATGCACGTCATTACTCCTACCGACCCATGCTGTTGATCATCTCCCTCTGTGTCGCGCGGTCCCGGTTCGTCTGGCTGAGTGATGGGATGCTCCTCAGGTCACCCACGACGTCCTTTGCCTTTCCGAAGTACACCTCCTGCAGCAGATTGCGCATCTTGAGCTCCATGTCTTCGACCATCTTTCCAATGTTGGCGACGTGCGAGGTGTCATCCTCGACGGCCATGTCGGCTTCCACTTGGCGCACCATATTACCGGAGAGGTCAAGACCGCCGAGCGCTTCGCTGTCGGTGCCGAGGGAGAGGATGACGGTGGAGGTGAGCTTGTAGTGCGAGGTGCGGGCGCGGTCTTGGGCGTCGAAGACGTGGATGCTGTCCCAGCTGCCGGAGCTCTTGGGCGTGGGGTTGACGGCTGCGTGCATTAGCATGTGATGGATGTGTAGACCCGAGACTGCGTACCCTTCTTCAGCAGGACACAGCCTGCAAAGCCGTCGTCCATGTCCCACAGGTACACGCTCGATATGCCGCCCTCGAAGTACCTGTCTGCATCAGCCAAGCTCTCCATGCTGCCCCTTCCCTTGTGTGCACTCACAGCTCCCGGTACACGTCAAAAGCCTCGTTCGCCTTGACCTCCATCTTACGGACACGATCGCTAGGCGTGACACCTTCCTCAATGGGCGGCTCGAACTCGTTGCTCCACGGACTCCTCCAGCTGTCGCCGTCGCGGTTGTAGTCGCAGCACAGGAAGTCGCGCTTCGTCTTGGAGCATTTCTTCACGGTGAGTGGTATGTCGACCGACTCGAGCAGGTCCTCTTCCAGCGAGGGGTTGAGCTGGATAATGTGGTCGACATTGCGCTTGACGTCCTTGGGGTTCAGTCGGCGCAGGAGGTCGCTGTCACGGCTTGTTAGCTATCGCGGCGGGAAAGGCGGGGTCGGGGAAGCCTCACAGGGCGCTGTCAATGGGGTCCGCCATGATTCTGATGCGGGTCTTGGGCGTGTATCGCTCGGGCGTGATCAAGGTCGGGTTGCTTGAGTATCGCTTGGGTCCTAGCCCCGTCCCCTCAATCTCCAGCGGCTCCTCCGTCGGCGATTCGCTGGCCGGCCCACACGAGTCAGGCGAGTACAAGCGTTGGTACCCCATCCCCGCGACGCGTCAATTCACGCAACAACTCCTCAACTCTCTTTTTCGTTGTCGCCGATTATCGCGTTGTCTGGGTTGTTGTCCATTCCAGGAAGGGTTTTTGTCCTCCTGTCGCAAGGCTTATGGCAGCAGCGGCCTGTTTCTGTCTCTTTCACTAAACAGTCGCGACTTCCGTCGTCAAGGACGAACTCTTTCACTTCCATGAGGACGTGGGTTCAGCGCTCTTCAGGGCTTTTTCTTATCATGCTAGATGTCATGTCTCGTCTCGTCGAATAAGCGCTTTTCGTTGTGGCAATACAATAAAACTCGTTGCGAGTATGCAGACAGTCGTTTGCATTGACTGCCACTTTTGCTCATGGAATAACAAGCAAGAAAGAGCTATCGTCATATCATTTATACAATACATGAGGGGGTAAGTCCTCTGGATTCCGAAATGTCTGCTCTCATACCATATCACGTAAGGCAGTCCGATATCGAGGTGCGGCTCACCTTCACTTCTTCGTGGCGCACGTGTGCGTGTCCGATGGCAGGCGACCAATAGCGCGTGCTCAATCCAGGGTCTCGCATCATGAAGTCGAGGTGAGGGCCGTATTTGGCTTATCTGTGTGCGCCGTTCATCCTTGTGTGCTCACCTTCACTTTCCTGCCATCGCGCTAATCCTCCGCATTCATAATCTGCATCCGTCTCCCTCCTTCATCCTCTTTACAACTTGACCACCAACACACTGCGACCACACCCAAGCACACCCAAAGACCCAACATGTCTGACAACGACAACACCGCCGTCGCCAATGGCTCTTCTCCTCAGTTCACCGAGCGCGAGCTCCAGCTCCTCGGATGGGCCATGCAGTCCCTCAAGTCAGGTCCTCCAGAGGTAGGTCACCATTCCCTTTCTACTCCTATCACGCTACTCACACTCGCTATAGATCGACTACGAGAAGCTCGCCGCCTACGCCGGTATGAGCAACCCGCGCTCCGCTGGCAACGCCTGGGCCAAGATCAAGCTCAAGTTGATGACACCTTCTCCCGACGGCGCCGTTCCGGCTACTCCCAAGAAGACTCCTCGCAAGAAGGCTGCTGCCGCCAAGCAGGAGGACGGCGAAGAGGGTGCCGACGCGACTCCTAAGAAGACTCCTCGCAAGCGTGTCGCCAAGAAGCAGGACGTCGACGGCGAGTCCTCCCCTAAGAAGAAGGCTACTCCCCGCGGCAAGAAGAACGAGAGTAAGTGACCACCCTCGAGCCTACGTTGTCGTTAGTCGACCTACTTTGCAGGTGTTCAGCTTGATGTAGGCTGCAGGCCTTTTCGGTGTTTTCCGTTTCGATCTATTCAATGCTAACATTCCGCAGCTGTCAAGGCGGAGTCTGACGAGGACGCCAACACCGGAGGCTCCCCCATGAAGATCGATCCCGCCAAGGAGGAGATCGTGGAAGATGAAGTCTAAATCTGTGCGCGACTCGTGCGTAGGTTAGCTGATTTCGATGTTCTCTTCAAACTCGGGGCGTAAGAAGTCATTGCGCAAGTTCTTACTGTACTGGTGGAGCGCATATGAATGGAAAAGTTGGCCTGCAAGGGTTTGTACATGGAGATTCAAAACGGCGTTCGGAGTATCACGATACCATGAAAGGTTTCCGAAAAGGTAGCGGCGGAGCTGCATTGTTCTCAAGATAGCGGTCGCAGCTGCATATCGCGCATCAACAATGCACATCTTTCATCATATCTACCGCTTGCATGCCAGAATGAACGGGCGGCATAACTACTGCTTGTCTGGTCCCGGTACTCATAAGACGTTGTAGGTGTGACGACGCGCATATATCCCAGCACCGGGGTGCTGTAGCCGGATATTACCCCAGACTCTTGGTCATGCACAGCTCATATGCATATAGCACGTACAGATCACTCTGCAAGACCTTTCTCGATGCGCATGCTGCCAAACAGTACCGCCGTCACTTACGCAACAAACCCCGCACATAATTGCACTGACGCCATGCGTTCATCGGCGCTACTACCCGCATGTGCGCGATAGCCATCGCATTCTTAGTTACCGGCACCTCGAGGCATAAACGCGATATCTAGCTATGGCGCACAAGAATCACGAAAACAAGAGAGGCGTGAACGCAGCGATGCTATCGTCGATGGAAGGCAAGTCAGGGCTCGTAAGGAATACCCGGACTCTCTCCGTAGAGACGGCTGACGTCTTGTAGGTCAGCGCTCGTAGCACGAATGTCCTACTGCTGCTACTGATTTCTCTTGTTCCCTTCGGCATCTTTTATGCAGGCGCTCAGCAGGCGCTCCTGCCTGTACTTCACGCGTACTTGCCCAAACTGCTCCAATCGTACCTGCCTACATCGGCACCAGCCAGCCCACAAGAGTCGCTGAGTTCGGAGAACCTAACCAAAGCATGCGCAGGCCACCAGTACACGACTGAGATCATATCTCTCGATCCTCTTTTGATCTACATCAACAACTTCACGTCAGCACGAGAAGCGGAGGAACTTATCAAGCTCGGGTACGCATACTCGCCTCCGTTTATTGTAGACGGTACATAGCGAATGCAAATAGTCACTAATCTCCGCAGCTCTCCTGAGTTCGCCGAATCTTTCATCAGCCGCTCGCGAGGCAACACGCAGCGTGTAACAGGGCGAACCTCTCAGTCCGCGCCGCTCCCAATGGAAAACCCGCTTGTCGAATGCCTTCTCAATCGCGCACGAACGTTCATGGGCTCCATGCTACTCCCCTCCGAGCCCTTTAGCATTCCGCAACTGGTGCGCTACTTCCCTGGCCAGAAGTACAACCTGCATACGGACTTTTGGCCTGAGCACCAAATCACCACTCTCGAAAATGGAAGGCGGGTTTACTACAACCGCGTCGCGTCTTTCTTCGTCTTTCTGCGCGATAATTGCACGAATGGGTATACGTCTTTCCCTCTAGTCGAGCCTTCTTCGTCTACCGATTTAGAAGGTCTCTATAGCGGCAAAGTAGCTCACGGAGAGATGGATGGAGAAGCTAAAGGCATCAAATTCAAACCAATCCAAGGGAATGCAGTGTTCTGGGTTAATCTGGACAAGCATGGCAAGGGCGATAGGAGAGTGGTGCATGCTGGGTTGCCGGTAGGCGAAGGAGAGAAGATTGGGCTGAATATCTGGCCTAGAAAATACTTTGGGTACTTGGACGGTGATGGTGGGGATGAGGCAGAGACGGCGCAGGCGGCACGGCAGAGATGGAGCGGGAAATGGAAGGACTAGGTAAAGAGCATGTTACCAACCTTTCGGGTCATCGAAAACGAACCCAAATATCGCATTTAGCGCATATCTGACCATTGAAACAATCTATCGCATTTCAAAACCTTAATCTTCAAATTACCCTTCCAAGGCCGATGCGCAAGGCTATCCCCATGTATACG